CGCGTGCGAAGTTCCTTGAAGGTGGTGACTTCCCGGGCAGGCGCCGCGGAGCCGCCCAGAGACCCGGTGGGGGGCTGCTCGGTGTCGGGCGAGAACACGATGAGCCAGTCGCTGCGGTCTTTCTTGGCCTGCGGCACGAGGGGCAGCCCGGAGCCCCGCTTGCGCTTCTGGGCCAGCTCGTGGAAGGACGTGATTGTCCGGTGGGGCACCGGCTCCTCGCTGACGTCACTTCTCCATCCCCCATCACTTTTCCCTGCATCTGTTTTCGGGCCAGACTCGGTTATCCCCGTGTTGGTTTTCCAACCGGAGTCGAATATTCCAGGTTCGGTTTTCCTCCCAGAGTTGGTATTCCCGTTGATTTTCCAGCCAGAGTTATTGTTCTCAGTGATTTTCCAGCCGGCTTCAGCGCTCTCTGTGTCAATTTTCCAAATGGGGTTGATTTTCCAACTGGGTTCGGTTTTCTCGGCGTCGATCTTGCCGTCATCCGCCTCTGGGAGCTCGGAGGTGGGGGCCTCCAGCTCCCCACCCTCGTCCTCTTCCTCCAGCCCGGAGGAAGGGAGGTCCTGGCAGGTGGTCAGGGCGTTGCAGTTAGAGTCCAGGCCGGGGCCGGGCGGCGAGGAAGCTCCGGAACAGGAATCGGGAGAGCAGCAGAAGCTGTCGGGAGAGCAGGCGCCAGGGTCCCCGGGAGCCAGTGGGGCGCCCTGCTCCAGGGGGATGATGCAGCGCTGCGGATGGACATCTTCGTCGCCAGGGAAGTCCCGCGAGTAGACTGAGATGGGGGACTCATCAGGGCTCAAATCGGAGCAGGAGCTGAGAGAGGACGAGCAGCCCGGGTCCGAGGGGGAGGCAGCCCCCTCGTCCTCCTGAGCTGGGCCCTGCCGGGTCTCTGGGCCCTGCCGGGTCTCTAGGCCCGGCCCGTGCTCCTGGCAGCATCGGCAGGGCACGGCTGGGCTGTTGGAATTGGCGTCCACCAGGGTCCCGCTGCAGGGGCCGCGTCTCTCCTTGCCGCCGGTATCCCCTGGGGGAGGGGATGTGCTCAAGGGCCCCTCTCGGAGCTCAGGACGGCGGGACAAGTGCAGGCCCAGAGAGACGTGCTGGAGGTGGATGTGGTTGAGGTTGCAGAGCAAAGCCCTCTGAGGGGACAGCATGGTGCCGGCGGCAACGGGGTGGCCTCTAGAGAATCGGGCGGGCCGGGCCTCTCACATCCGCCTACCTGGCAACCGCAGATGCAGATCTAGAAGACAGGGATGGCGAACCCCAGCCAGTGAGGGCGCGGGCCGTGGAAAGGACACCGAGGTGACTGACGGCTGGAGCAGGCCTGGGAAGGCGCCGGCTTCCTAGGACAATATTCAAATGAGATGCAAATGGTCATCCACCGGCCTTTAGTTTCCTCCGCAGTGTTTGCAGGTGGAGTCGACTGTAACCCCCCGGGAATGGGGCGGGAGGTCAGAGAATGCGGCTGCGCTCTGCATCTCTGTGGAGGTGCGGGGGCGTGGAAAAGGATGCAGCTCAGAATGGACCCGGGTCGTCTCTGCCGCAATCACTGTCGGAAGCGGCGGCCGAGGGGGCCCCGCCCGAATGCTCTGAAAGGGAGGCGGACGGGTGCGCGCCTGGCTGCCCAGTGCGGGGTAGGGCCGGGCGCGGGGGCAGGACGGAGCATCCCGAAAGGCCGGCCGCGGGGCTCCAGCCTCGGTGCGCCTTCCCCCTGCGGGGACCCCGCTGTGTCGGTCCATTCTCTCCACGCTTGTCTATCATTCAGCCACCACCCCGCCCCTATTCATTTTTACTGCCCCCTCCCCAGGCCCACTCTGCGTGCCCGCATGCCCGCCCCATTCATCCTCACCCCTGCGCCGAGCCCTCCTCACCACGGTCCTCCTGCACCCGCTACCGCCTCGGGCTCCGAGGCTCCCACGGTCCCCGCCGGTCCCCGCAGACTGGAGGGGAGGGGCGCTAGGACAACCCGCCAGCGCTGCGCAGCCGCGCCCCTTCACGCATGGGCGTGGCGTGGCTCAGACCCGGCCCCCAGCACTTGACGTCTTGCTTGTCACCCACCTAGGTCCGTCTCGCAGTTATCCACGCACTAAGCTTTCCGCCCTAGGGGACTCGGAAGCAGGCCTGGTGTCCGCAGCCGCCCCCACCCTGGCCGGTGGAAGCCGGAGCGTAGCCGGGGGCTACAGGACAGCGGCCTGGGAGCAACACCCTCTCGCCCGCCTCTTTCTTACACCCTGGCAGAGGGAGAAAATGGGTTCTGGCCAGGTCCCTTGTGTTTGCGTGGGTTTTCTCCAGGGACTGGCTTCCTCCCACATCCCAGATGTGCAGTGTGGCGAGCTGGTGTCTACATTGTCCCAGTCAGGCGATGTAGGTGAGTGCACCCTTGGGGGGTCCTGTCCCTGGTGAGCTCCCACCTTGGGCCGCCGGGTGGGGCTCTGGCCACCCACCATCCTTAGTGGAAAAGGCGGGTGAGAAACCAACCTATCTGGCTTTTAGTCATCTCTTCTGTGTATGTACAGCTCACAGTGACTTCACTGTTTACTATGAGAAGTGTTTGGGTCTTAATTAGAACTTTGATGGTTTTCTGTGAGCAGAAATGTGCCGTAAGAGCATAGCTGTTGTTTATATCAGTCAGCCTGTGGCGACACTGGCTTCGCTACACGTCGCACTCCCCAAGAACCATCAGCCAGAGGCGAGGACTTGTGTCGTTTATTGGGCCCCCCCGCGCCACACTCCAGTTCATTTCTTGCGCTTGTAGAAGTGGTGTGCCAGCTCCAGGAAGATGGAAGGGGGCAGGGGCGGGGCGAGGTCCCCGATGAGCCCCGTGATGCGGCGGTAGCTGTCCTCCTCGTACCGCGAGAACACGCCCGGCAGGTCCAGCTCCTCGTAGAGCGCCTTCACCCGGGCCACCTTCTCGGCTTCCTTCTGCCCATAGTTCTCCTGGAAGGTGTGGCAGGCGGGAACACAGGATCGACCTTTCTCCAGCACCTCCAGATCCCCTCCACGCCCCAGAACACCTCCCGTGACATTCAGTGGAGTCCTGCCTCCAGTTTCCATGAGCGTCTAAGCTTTGGTCCCCCGCCCCATCCCACGTGCTCAGATACCCTGCCCAGAGCCTCCTCCACCCCAGGGTTGTCAGCCTGGGCGCTGCCCGTTGGGGGCAGATAATTCATTGCTGTGGGGAGCTGCTGTGTGCATTTTAAGATGTGTGGCTGCACCCCTGGCCTCCGCCCACTAGACACCTGCCTACGGCACCAGAACAGACACCAAGTTGTGACAACAGAAAAACGTCTGCTGCCATTGCCAAATGTCCCCTGGGGCACAATCACCCCCACTTGAGCAGCACTGCTCTACCCCTCCTCATGAGCTCGGGGTCCACAGCCCCCTCAGCACCTGCAGGACCTGGCGCTGCTCCGGGGAGGCCCTCTGCAGACACTGAACCACCAGCCAGCTGCATTTGTTGTCCTGGATGTCAGTGCCAATCTTGCCTGTCACACTGGGGTCCCCAAAGGCATCAAGGTAATCGTCCTGGGCACAGAGAAGTAGGAATGAAGAGGCTCCAAGGCAGGGCGGGAGGAAAGGTGGAGCCCCCGCTCGGCCAGCACCCCCGCACCCCCCTTACCTGGATCTGGAAGAACTCCCCTATCTCGAACAGGATCTTCTTGGCGGTGGCATGCTCCCTCTCCCCATCGATGCCCGCCTACAGCGAAAGGGCGTGAGTGAGCCGAGCGCCAAGGGGCCCCCACCTTCCTCCCGTGTGGTCGCACCCGAGGGCAGCCCCAGATCCTCTCTCCCTTCAGGCACCCTGGCTTCCGTGACAAGGTGGCCCAAGCTCTACCCCACTGTTTTTCGGCTGGGCCTTCCTGCAAGTCCCAGCAAAGAGGAATGCATTCTCGGGGCCCTGATCCCTCTTCCTGACGTTTTTGCCATTCCCAACTTCTCTCAGGGTGGAAAGGCAAGTTGGAAAAGCAAGGTCAAGGGAGACGGCTCACCCCATGGGAGCCTGTGGGTCCGGTCGCCCCCCCCCCCCCGACTCTGACGGAGGGCCTCTTGTCACCCTACGACGGGCTGGCCACTTCCCTGCCACGAGCCTCGTGAGCCCTTACAATCCTGGGAGGTGGGGGTTCGCCCTCATCCTACGGCTGAGGAAATGTCACACGGCCATTCAGGGGGAACACCAGATTATCCTGTGCCCTCCTGTCCAAAAGGCCACATCAGTGGGCGGCGGAGAGGCGAGGCTCTCTTACCATGTACATGCCTGCAGCCACGGGAAGGTAGGCAGTGTAGAAAGCTGTCTTGTACTTGACGATAGTCTTGTACCTGAGTGGTGGGGAGGATGACTCCTCAGAGGGGCAGTGCCCGCCTGGAGCCCCCCGTCACCCGTCCAGGGGGTCCCCGCTGTCCCTCACCTCTTTTCAGTGAATCCTGAGAGATCCACCTTGTCCTGGAGGCCTGCGATGAGGTCCAGGCTCTGTCCAATCTCTGTCACGTAGGAACTCTGAGTAGGAAGACGGCCCATGAGCTGGGATTTCTCCAGGGCTGAGGAATCCCGAAATCCTGGGCCCTACATCCCACCCCAGATGACAACTGCACAGGCCAAAAGGCAGCGAGAGGGGAGATGGCCCCAAAACTCAAGGCCCATGTTCACAACACACACACACGCAGCCCTTGACCACTCCCTCCTCCAAGCACACAGGGACGGGGCTCCCTTCCCGCCATGCCGGCCCCACCCCCTCCGCCCCCCTCCCTCTCTTCCTCTTCCGGGCAAGCCCAGCTAGGTTTTGGGGGGCTGTCCTACAGAAGCCACGGCTCCTGAGAGCACCTGCAGGAAGAGCTCCATCAGGTTCAGGTAATAGGGCTGCTCCCGGCAGTAGTGCTTTAGCAGGCGGTAGATACACGTTTCGATGAGAAGACCGTCGTTGATGGCATCCAAGCCAACGCCTGGCTGTCCGGAGCACAGAGGAAAACCGATACCTGTCACTCCGAACGCCTGGACAGACTCCATGTAACCACTCCCCGTGGCCTGCCCCCACGCCCGCTTTACCTTCCGATACCAGCAGAGCTGCCCCCGTCGGGTGATGGATGAGTCCATGATGTCGTCTAGCACCAGAAAGAAGGTCTGGAGCTAGGAGGAGGAGGAGAGTGGCGTGAGACCCTCGGGCCTCTCGTAATTGTCCCTCCCACCCGTGGCTTTGGAGAAGTGCTGAGAGCTAAGAAAGCAGCCGGGTGGGGAAGCCGAGGACCGGTCTGTGCCCCAGATGTGAGAGGGGACGAGAGCGCTCTTGTTCTCTGACATCCCCAGACGAGCAGCCTTAGAACTGTCTGGTGTCAGCGAGATGAAACACCGTCACACACTGCACGCGTGCCCAAACCCTCAAGGATGCGTGAAGTAAGATTTCCTCGTGCAACCTGACTTGGCATTGACCAACAAAAGAGAAAGCTGAGCCCGTGTTGCTCCCGGGCACCCAACGCCCAGGAGCAGGGCCCCGCCTCGGGGAGCTCGTTTGGGGGTGCAGGTCTGATGGACGGGACTGCAGTCTGACTCCCAGGAACTTTCAGCCACGGGCCTCATGCACCTCTTAAGCATCAGCGAAGATGCTTAATGCCATTGGCCGGATGCCGCCTGGACCTGCTGGTTCCCACGAGACTCCGCTTGGAGGCAGGGACACCACCCTCTGGGCATTCCCAGAGTCCAGCCCGGCGCCTGTCCTACAGCCGGCGTGTCATAATGTTCGTCTGATCAGTAAATAAAAGAATGACATGCATAACCTTCCCCGTGGTACTTCTCGCTGTTGGGCTACACACTCTGGTCCCTTGAAGGAGCTTTTCGAGACATGGTTTTGAATCTTCGCTCATCCTGACCTGTGTGCATCCTAGGGCCCCACTGCTCAGAGGAAGCACGCGACACAGCCCCCCAGCTCACGTGTAGGTGGTGTGAAAGGGCCAGGCCCACCCAGGCTCTGGGGAAGGAGGCACCCACCTGTTCCTTGGCCTCTGGCCTCACCCTGGGGTGGGGTGGGGTGGGGCTTTCCACAACTGAGGTACATGTTTTATTGACGCCGTGTTTATTTGGAGTGGTCTGCTGCCTTTCCCAAGAGTGACTGCAAAACCCTCTGGTTTCTACCGGGACTGTCCCCACTCTGTGGCCGCCCCTACAGTGATTCCGGCCCAGCCGCACTTTCTATTTATTAGGCGAGCCCCATGCCACCCTGGACACACCGATCTCGTCCGAACTCAGAAGCTAAGCAGGGTCGGGCCCGGTGAGTACTTGGATGGGAGGCCACCTAGGAGGACCAGGTGCTGTAGGCATTAAAAACAAGGGATTGTAAACTGACAAGGTCCCTGCAATCTGTGAGATCAATCAAGGGTTGTCTCACCTAAAAAAGTAAATAATAAAAAAATAAAAATTAAAAATTGTGGAGTACTAGTCAGAAATAAATAGGAATCATCTATTGATAAATGTTACAACATGCATGAATCTCAAAATAATTATGCTAAGTAAAAAAAACAAGACCAAAGAAGAGAACATATGATTTCATTTCTATAAAATTCTAGAAAATGCTTACTAATCTCTGGTGACAGCAAGTAGATCAGCAGTTGTCTAATCGGGAGGTGAGTGGGAGTGGGTGCTGTAGGCATTAAAAATAAAAACCACACCAGTGCCAGAGCCGATCAAGTAATCAAGAACCTGCGGGCTGTTCGGAGGTCCTCCCAGGTCCTCCCAGGCCTGCACTGCAAAGAGAAGTTAGCAACGGGGACACGCCCGTGCCCTGTCCTCACGAGGGCCTGGCCTGAGTGTGACCTGAGGGATGTGTCCACTCCCACATGGGGCCCTGCGCTATCCTGCCAGGCGACTGGCCTAGACTTAAAAATGCAAATATTGAAACCCTAACCCTCAGGAGGCAGGACCTCGGGAAAAGGGAACTCACAGGGCCCTCACCCACATCCCCCCCGTGGGGAACCAGCTGCGAACCAGAAAGCTGGCCCTCACTCCACCATGCTGGCGCCTCGACCTTGGCCTCTCAGCGTCCAGAACTGTGAGAAACAAACTTATCTTGTTTGTAAACTACCCAGTCCTTGGTATTTGTTGCAACAGCCCTAACACACTAAGGCAGAGGTGATCATGGTGTTGTGGTTATACGGGCAACTATCCTTGTTTTTAGGAGGTAAATACTGAAACAGAAAAATAAGAGGGTGAAGGAGATGAGGTAGAATAGAAGACAGAAGTGGAAATTATAACTAAAATCACCCAAGTTAAAACAAGGGTGAACACTCAAATGGCATCTTGGAGAAGTGACAGCATTTTAGCCGTGATTTTAAAAACCACGCCCAGGTGAACCCAGGTGCAGCTGATTCTACAGGTGCGCTGCTGGCCCTCCGGTCCACACCGCCCACGGCCCCACAGCTCTGCGCCTCTGCTCCGCCCCTGCCTGTCGCCCCCATGTTTCTGGGCTCCTCAGCCCCTCCTGATCCCTACAGGGACACCCCTGTCACGGAAAGAGCCCTATCCCGGGATGATGTCATCGTCTTATACCTCCTCGGAGTGAATCCCATTCTCCAGCCCCATCTCGCAGGCTTCAGACTGGCATTTTCAACACCCCCCGGGCACAGCTCTGCCTGCTCTGCTAGGACCGGGACCGCAGCATGGCCGACCGAGCTCCCCGCCCCACCTGGACCGGCGGCCCCTCTCCTCAGCAAGCCCTGAGCGGCTTCCCTTCCAGACTCATCGCCACCCTCTTCAGGGCCTGGCACCCCTCCCGGCACCCAGTGCCGCTGTCACTAACGAAGCCCTTAGGCCAGGCCAGCAAACACACCTTCCACAGCCAAGCGATCTGGGTGTAGGAGGCAAGGAAATGGCGGAGCGGAGCGAGGCGGACCCACGCAGGACAGCACGGGTGGTCGCGGGAGCGACCTCGGGCCACCCGCCCACTGCTGCTGCAGGGGAGCTGGACCCAGATCTGGCAATTTTCCAAGTGATGCTAGCAATCTGGGTTTTTATGGGAAATCTAGTCTTTGTTACATTTAGGAGACTTAACTTTAAACCATTTTCGAAAACTATCAGTGGGCTGCTTGTCTTCCATCTCTGCTTAAGACTAGTCTTCTGGAAGAACTGTCACTTTGCTCAGAGGACTGCTGACGCCTCTGTGCCCAGTTCAAACGCGTCCTTGCTGGCAAGGGAGGTCCCCTAATTTGTCCGCCCGGCCCCGTGCAGGGCACCCCACTCCGGCGAGCCTCTCCTCCCCGGCCCTCCGGCATAGCTCTCACCATCTCCACGCACCAGCCCACCACCAGGGCCCGATGCACACTCGCGGCGTCCTGCTTTCTCGGCTCGACCAGCGCCCGGAACGCGATCAGCACCAGCAGACCCCGCTGATGCTTGCCACCGATGACATTGTACTCCAGGACCTGGAGGGTAGCGCAGGGCACAGAGCATCAGGGCCCGCAGAGCAGAGCCGAATTCCGAGTTCTCCTTTCCCTCGCCTACTCCCAGCCCCGACTCCCTGTCCTCCTCAACCCCGGCTTCTCCCCCAGGGAGCCCCTGGAATGGCTACTCCCTGAGTTCGTCCCCCAAGTCCTGAAGCACAGCTGGACGGCCCCCCAGGACCCCAGGCTGTCCCTCTGCGTGTGTACCTCGGTAAGTTTAGCAGTGCACATTAAACCCTGCTCCCAACGTGAACCCAGGAAAACTGGGCAAGCTGTGGGCATGGCTGGCACACCCAGGCTCCGCCCACCTCCACCTCCCCTAGACCTCCTCACAACCAAGCCCGCCCTCCTTTCCCAGCCACCTCCTCCCGCCCACAGCTCAACCTATCTGCAAATGAAAAGCCTCTCTCACTGTATCAGAGACACGGCGCCCCCTCCTCAAAGTTGGTCAGAAGAGAGCTTGGAGGGGACCCAAGTTGGGGTACCCATTCCCCACGGCTCCAGTGCTGTCTCCTGCTGGGACCCCTCATCTGCCTTCCGCTGCCCTGCTGAGGACCAGATCTAATCTGCTTGGCAGGCTTGCCTTTCCACCCCCATCCGGTAGAAGCGCCTTTAACGTGGTTCTCCTCAGGCGAATGAGACAGCGCTTAGAAAGAGGGATTACTAGCTACCCCGAAAGAATAAAAGCCTTAGGCAGTGTACGTACGGAAGCCACAGTTCCTGTCCCAGAGCAGGACTTTCTGAAGATACACTAGCTTCACTCAGGCCCATATCTGACCGCCTTCACCCTGTCCCCAAGGTGGCACCTTATGATTTCTGGACACGTAATTTCCTTTCTCAACAAAAGACTTATAAGGTGCAAGGCCTTCACCCACAGGGGTCTCCACCCATGCAAAGCAGCTTGGCCCTCCAGAACCACAAGGCAGGACAACAGGTGAGGAAGTACACCTGCCTGGGCACAGGCCCCTCCAGAGCCGATCTGGAGTCACCCAGGTAAAAGCCTGCCCCCACACCTGTCCAAAGTTCCCCCAAAGCCACAGCTGGATCCCACACATACGCAGAGTGACCAAAGATTCACTCTAAGTTGCAGATCCCTCACCTGCTTGAGCCGGGCAAGAACTTCCTTTATCTCTGGGTGTTCCAAGTCATCGGTCAGCACCTTGATGATCACTGGGAAACACTGGAGGAAATTCTGCTTTTCTTGCATGAAAGCATCCGATTTCTGATCTCCATTCATTCTGAGGGAGGAGTAATGTGCCCTGAGGAGAAAGAGGACAAGTCAGAAACCTGATCAAGCCCTCCCCTCCCCAAGGCCCTTCACCCCACCACACTCACCGAGGCTCCTCTGTCCACGCTTGGCACCAGCAGCCGGCACTGTGCCAGGCCCCCAGGACTGAGCCCCCATACACCAGGGAGGGCCGCCGCAGGGTACCCAGCCACCTCTCCCGGGGTACCCAGCAGGGGGCTGGCAGCAAGAAGACCCCCACAGACCTCAGCCAGCGGGACAGGGGCATCATGTGGGGGTGGCATAGGGAGGAAGCACCCAGCACTCCCTGCAGGGGCAAGCACCAAAGGCAGATACACGGTGGCAGCTCCCCAGGTCACCCCCATACACACACCCCTAGCCCTTTACTTCTGGACCCTGGCCCCGCCCTCTTCTGGACTGAGCTTCAGAGCATTTACAGAAAGAAGGAAATGCAGTGAACCAAAAGGATGGCTGGGTGGCTGAGACTCCACTGATCACACTTAAAACAGATGGCTAGAACTTAATGCCACCTCATGTTATCCTCCTCGCCCGCCAACTCCTCCTCCAGGGAGCCTCTGGAATTGCTACTCTCGGCTTCTTCCTCCAAGTCTTGGAGAAAGAGCAAAGTACCTCAGGACTAGGGCCTGAGAGGACCCTTAAGTAACCCTATTTTATTGGTCAAAGTGAGGTTCTAGAAGGTAAGGAGATACGACGGCAGTGGCAGCGACAGGTCTAGAACCCAGGTCTTCCCTGGTAGGCGGTGAAAGGGGTGCGGGCTCGCCCCCAAGAAGAGAAGAAATGGAGCCGGAACCCCTGCGTGCTACGGCATGTAGCCTGGGGCTGAGACTGGGCGCCCCGAGCCCCACAGTGGTCGCCGGGACAGCGGAGACAGCCCCGGAGCAACGCCGGGCGAGGAAGGAGGGCGCGTCGTAGAGGAGCAACCCGGGATCGGGCATATTAGGGGTGCCTAGAAAGCTCACGACAGAGCTCGGGAGTTTCCGCGTATCCAGAGGGTCAGCCAGTCGGGCCCATCGACCCCAAACACGGGGGGGGACTCCGACGCAACAGGCCGGGCCCCCTGTGCTACAGAGGTAAGGCCACATCCCCACCCGCAGTCTCCGAGAGCCGGTCACAAACCCTCTCACCTGTTCCTGGAAGCCGGCTCACCCTGCAGGTTTTTCGTGGAGTATTCCTAAAAGTGGCACCGCTCCGCGCTCAGCCACCTGGGTCGAGTAGTTCTTGATCTCCTTTCGTCCGAGGCAGGAAGGCCTCATTAGACTACAATTCCCGGCATGCGGCGGGAGGGCCGCGACAACGCCTCCTGGCGCAGGCTGGGTGGGCGGGGCCAAGCCGCGCTGATTGGCCGCTTCCTCTCGTACGAGCATGAGGCCCTGTAAGGACAACCAATGGTTGACGCCCAAGGCCGTCAGCCTAAAGGAGCAGAGCGGGGCTGAGGGCGGGGTGGCGCTGGAGCCGGAAGGGCTGTGCTCCGGGGGTGCTGGGAATGCACTCCACTTTGGTTCTCGGCTATCACCTTTGCTACACATTTCGGTTTTCGTCATCTTCCTGTGCAGCTGAATGGCATATTAGTACAACCCCAGCAGGACCAGCTTTGTCACCTACTGGTTCTCTAACTTAAGCAAATCATTTAACATCTCTGATCCTCAGTTAGCTTCCTCGAAACTGGCTTCCCTAATCTGTTCATCGAGGATGATACTATGAGATAATGTATATAAAGTACTCAGCATAAACTAGAAGCCTCAGCCCTACGCACACGCAACTGAGCCCACTGGGGCTTGACCCCATTGGCTCCTGCTCTGCTAACTTGAATCGCAGTAACTTGACCCTTATGGAAAGGTGCCTGAAAGGCTGAACGACCTACAACATAAATGGATGTCATCATTATGGGACCAAAAAAAAAAAAAAAATCATTCTGTAAAAATAACCGGTACTACCAGTGCTATTTCAACATCATCCTAAAAGTTTTAGTCAGAACTACAAGACAAAAAGAAATTTAAAAACAGCCGAATTGGAAAAGAAGTTAAAATACCTGTATTTCACAGATGATATGATCCTATATAGAGAAATCTACAAGAAAGTGGGGGCTGGGCTGGGCCTGAGAGCCCTTCCAGACCTCCTGACTGCCCTCCTTTCCTGGGCTGAGCCAGCTGGCTGCTGCCCCTGACTTTCTCAAACCACAGAAGACAAGCCAGGTGGCCACTGAATCAGCTAGGAGCCCCTCTTCTGGAGTTGTGCCCTGTCTGCCCTGGCTGAGCAGGCCGTGCCCCTTCCCCCACCCCACCCCCGGCCTCCACATGCCCCTGTTAGTGTCCTCCCCCTTCCTCAAAGGGTCACTCGCTCTCTGGACTGCTCTGGGCTTCCCGCGACACCTCTGAATGTCCCTTACCTGTACACCTAGAGCGATGACCTAGGACCTTGACAGATGGCGAAGAAAGGGAGAGGCAGATCTGAAGGAAGGGTCCACAAGCACCGCAAGGACGTCAGTCGTGAAAATGTGGGCAGACTTAAAGGCAGGCGAAATCGATTCTGCCGCTTTAAACTTGGAAGGCTCGAACCCAAGTATCCAAGCCAAAAGGGAAACTTACTGGTGAGAGTTCAGTGAGATCACGTGACCGTGAAAGTAAAAATTTCAAATGCAAGTGACTCGAAAGAATAAAACTCAGAGAAGAATGCTCTGCACACCTCAAATAAACAGGCTGCTCATCTAGGGCTGTCCCACCCTGGGCTCTGCTCTCCGTTTTCTGTCCATCCTCTTCCTTGTGATCACTTCTACAAAATTCTGCTCTGGGTTTTTCTCCGGAATGGCCTTAGCCCACCCAGAGCTGCAGCCATGCGTAGGTGCGTCTGGCCAACTGCACAGGGCCGAGTGGGAAAGGAAGGGGTGACGTGGCAACGCTGGGGCTTTGTGGTGTAGGCCTGGGAACGTGGAGTCAGAATTCCCTATTTTTCAACTTTGTGCTTTTCCCGAGGTGTTTCCTAGCCTCTGAGGTTCTGTTGACCCGATCTCTAACTTCCTTTGAGGCTTCTGTTTTTCACTTACGGACTCCACTCCCAAGATGGAGGAGAACTGGCCCGGCAAAGTCAAACCTGCCAAGAGATAGCCATGTCACACCCTCTCACCTGGGTCATAATTGACTACGTAATGACATTTTCCGGGACTTCCCTCTAGATCTCCAGGTAGATACAATGCTTTTTTAGGCTGGCAACTACCATTCTACTTGGTCTTCAGGAATTTGACTACACTTGGCAGGATCCCCAGATAGGGGCAGGGCCTGATTTCTTGCCTGTCTTCCCCACCCACTTGAAACTTGAGAAGAGGGACACATCGTCATTGTGTTTCGCCCAGAGCCCAGCACAGAGTTTAACCCAATAATAAACTTGTATGGAATTTATTCCGATGTTTTCCACAGCATACCCAAAAGTAGAGAAATGGTCTAATTAACTCCCGTGTATCGGTTGCTCAGCCTTCAGGACCGTCCACATTTTATCCATCTGATTTTGTTAAACTCTCCACCTAACTTTCTTCCCGCACCG